TAAGCGTCAAGTAGAAATCTCAAGTTCCAATTGACATTGATGTGCATGATACAAATGTTGATAATGAGGACTTCATGATGATTATGTATAACGAAAAAAAGGCTCAAAGAAAGTTGTTCAGCATAAAACATAGTTGTAAGTTTTAGCAGACGATTGTGAGGATGACAACGACAAAACTTTTGGTATCTTGATTTGGAAGGCTAATTCAACAAATATGTTGTTCCTCTCTATGATAGCACAGAATATTGGCTATGTCTGTTTCAACATTGCATCTGAGTGCTTTTAGTATGGATTGTGTATTAGATCCATTTCAGCTCCCTTACTACTAAGATGGTAGAGACTCTTATCTTTACATAGATTGGATTAGGAATACACGTGGACCATTGACCATTGAGGAAGCTTGGAGGAATTATCTAAAATTGAGTCAGGTGAACATTTTTTGTTAACTTTCAATTTAATTATATATTTTCCATCATTATTTATGATTTTACCTAACTTTTTTGTCTAACTTTGTGTGAGTTTTTCTCTTCGGAGTGGCAAGTAGTCTAACTCATCTTGATGATTGAAGGGTATTCCAAATTTCCAATATATGAGTTATATATCACTGATAATTAAAGGTTTAGGGTTTGGTTGTTTATGTTGGTTAAATTTTTGAACATTTTGTGAACTGATTTAATAGTTTTTATTCGGAAGTGGAAAGTGTGTAACTCATCTTGATGATGTTGTGTTTGTTTGTTTTAAATTTTTTGAACTACTTTATGTAGTTAAAACTATAGAAATTTAGAAGGAGACGCTCCACGCCTCCACCTGTTTTGCACCACCCTTTGCATTGATATTATTTTGACCACCTTTTGCATTGATATTATTCGGTGGACCATATTTGCATGTGAATTTCTATTTTTGGAGAGTTGCTAACTATAAGTTTATTTATTGCCCACAGATGCAGATGCAGGACTGGGATCTGATTTTTGAGGAAACTCTTTTTATTCAGTAGCACTATAGCAGATTGAAAAGTTTGAACTTTGGCTTTGGATATCTAAATTTTGAAGAAGCCTCTTTTATTTGCAAATGTTTTCTCATTTTTAATTAGCCAATGTTTTTATTAATGAGTATTGAGTAATTTAATTGAATCTTTATGTTTTTATTTCATGTTCTGGATTCGTATCTACAAATAGGTAATTTAATGGTTTTTTCACACAATGAGTACAACATAATCCCCAAATAAAAGAGAAAAACAACATAAATTATAATAAAATATAAATATTTGAATTTAGGGACTTAAATGTAAAAATTGAAGAATTTTAGGGGTGATAAAAAACCGGTTTAACCGAGCCGAATATTCGGTTTAGGTTTACAATCGTTTTATACCGAAGCATTTTGTCTAAATCAAATAACCAATTGGGTTCGGTTTGCCTTATCCGTTTCGGTTACTGGATATCCCCACCCCTATTTAGTGTATCTACTATAGTCAGCCTATAGTTATGAAAATATATCACTTGTTTTTCATTAAGTTATTTGGTAAATCATTTAATTTTATCATTAAATTTATCCTTTAAATAAACTTTCGCATTTTGATAAATTAAAATGACTAATTTGTCTATATATGTCCAAACCTTAAAAAAATGAAAAAAAAATATTTTTTTTTTTTTATTTATCTTTTTCTACTTTTAAATTAAAGGGGTTTTTTTTTTAGTTTATTATTTTCCCTGTATTTTATGAAATTTTCTTTTGGACTTGTTATATCTTTAATTGTATTATTAAGTCTTGGTTTGATGGTTTACTTACAGACAATTACGAGAAAATATATTATAAATTCTAAATACACTCACACTTATTCTTAAACCTTTATTTTTTTTTGCATAAATCCTAAATATAATTATCATAATCATTGAAATTGTTTGTTTAACGAAATATACTTCCATTTTTTAGATTTTGCCCAAGTTAAAACTGATATTTTGATTCTAAATTGAAATTTAAGAAAGGGGTGCAAAGAAAAAATCCAATGGAGATTTGAAGGGTATTTGGGTATTAATAGGTGTATCTAGGGCTAAAAATCACTTAATAAATCGGTGGACACCATATCGTGGGCTCATTGGGGCAAGCTAAGCCCAATGTTAATCAATTTTCGATTTTCATCTTTTCAAAGAAAATAAAAAATTTATGTGACTATTACTTCTTCTTCTTTTTTAATTTAATTATTATTTTTCAGAAAAAAATAAATAGACTTCTGACATATAGCAAATGAAAAAATAATTCATTAGAAAAATGATTATTGGTAATTTGAGAATGCGTGTGAGAAGAAATCCCGACTTTGACTTTGACTATAATTTAACATATAATTCTTCTCCAGATTTTGAATCCCATTCCATGGTAATATTTATATTGATTAATTTCATGTAAACGTCAATGCTAATTAAGCTTTAATTAATAATTATGGGTAAACAGTCAACTCTAGACACTTTTTGTGACTGGTCAATATCTATACTCTTTTAATCAAATAAAAAAATAAAAACCCTTCAAATTGAATAAAAATATCGAGATTGATATGATATCCTCCTCGATTGTTAATAGGGATAATCATTGGAGTTTTTATGTGGTTGGTAGTTTCAAGATCTCGGGCAATTAGTTGAGGTACGCATAAATCAGTTGGACACCCCCGAGCATCCCAAAAAAAAAAAAGATTGATATGGTACCGATTTGCAAATTTGCCACCTTATAAATGGTTTTAGTAATTTGAGATGTCATATTAGTAACCTGTAACATCAAAATGATCAGCATAACCCACCACTCATGGGCAGTCCAACGGTCAAGGCGAATCAAGGGAATTGCAAAGAGTAATACTAGCATTACAAAGAGGCATACAAAGAATCAAATCCAGCTCTTGAAATTCATGATTGCCTCTTTTTCTCTCTCTTTTTCCCTTCTTTCAAGGGTTGAATTTGACTATTTGTATGAGTCTTTGTATGCCTTCTTGTAAAGCTAGTATTACTCAATTGCAAATGGTCCAACCCACAATCAAGGCTTAAATTAATTCCCACTAGGCGCAAAGGTAATACCCTCCCTTATAATTTACCAGGGGGTTGCAGCAATGAGTTGCTATTAGATAGCTTCCCGTCTTCCACTGACAAATGTTATCAAGTGTGATTGATAATATCAATTTTATGATGTCATTAATTGATTCGATGACATTATTTTGTTAATTTTGAACTAGACTTCCATTCTCGTGGGGTTGTCGTAATGGATTGCTATGAGAAAGCTTCCACTGACAAATGTTATCAAGCGTGATTGATAAATATATATTATCATTTTTATGATGTCATTTATTGATTTGATAACACTATTGTGTTAATTTTGAATACTTCATTCTCTTACAATAGAATCGAATATTATATATATAGTACCAATGATTCGAAAAAAATATCGATTTAACTTGATTAATTAATTTATTATATATATGCTGCATGGTCAATATTTTCATATATCATCTTTATAATATGATAATTTGGGAAAATAATTAAAAATATAATAATCAAAAGAATCCAATAATCAATTTCAATGAATGAATATGAGTTGACATGATGGGGTTGATCGAATTGCACAACCACATGGCTTGTTGCCTTGTAATGGTTGCTCCCATTCTCAAAATACAAAAACGAAAATTTTTTTAAAACAAGTAGAAAATTACAATTATTTATATACACCAGGATGGTCAAGAACTAGAGTCGTCATTAACAGTAGAAGCTGCTGCAAATTTTACGACGAAATCAGGAAAAGCTGGTGGCGGTGGTGCATGAACAGCCGCGGCAAAATTCATTTCACTTAACGTGCAATGACCGCTGCCACGGCCTGGAATATACGTGCATGGATTGCGACCGATAGGCGCCACCGGACCCTTTTGTAGAGATTGAACGATCAAACTTTTCTGTCTCCATTGCTCTCCTTCGAGCGGCCTCATTGCCGAAGTTCGTTCACAAAATGACGCACAAAGAAGGACGCAAACGAGTGGCATTATGAAGCAACGTAAACCCATTTGAGATGTGAAAGATTTATCGTGAAAAGAAATGGAAGTTGAAGGTTGAAGATGAATTAGAAATGGTTATGGAGATGGATGAATCCAATCGTATTTATACTAAAAAGGTTTAGGAGGGGTTGACTGAAAGCCGCGGGTTTGAAGTTTGAATGAAAGTCTAAATGAGAGACACGGACCTTTACCTTTAAGGGCAACCAATTAGTCCATAATATTTGTTTATGCGACTTAATCAAAAGTAACAAGTTTGAAGAAGTCCACTTTTTATGAATGTGCTATTTCAAGTCTTGGGCTCTGGGTCTGCTGGTCTTATTTATGAAGCCCATGTCCAATATTTGATGGCATGATTTTTGGTGAGATTGAACGATCAGACTTCTCCATAGTCATTACAGATAGGGTTGTCACTTTTTTTCAGAATTTTACAATTAGAATGAGATACTCTAATTTATTTTTCTTTTTAATTTTATTTTCAATAATAATGCTAAGTTCACAACATTCTCTCACAACTCCAGACGTGATAACTGATCATCGGTTAACTCTCAAATTAGTAGGCATAACCCATATATACAAACAGGTGAGACCCATTTTACGAATTGATCAATGACGAGCTGTTATATTCGGAGTTGTAAGTGTTGTTAGATTAGATTGTGGACCTAGCATTACTTTTATTCTGAAAAGTTATAAATCCCAATTAATCTATGGGCATATTTCAATAGGACTTCACCTAACAACCATTATTAAAATTTATTTCTTAACAATTTAACATTTATTATACAACAATTCCTTTGTAATGGATTCATATTATTTTAAGATTATATTCCAATCTCTAGCCACACGATTTGAGAGCTCTTTTGTACGCAATCTTAGAGATTATATTCCAATCTCTAATAGCCCTTGCATTTTCTCTCAATCTATCTATAAATTTGTAATGGTTTACTTAAAAAGCAGATAATCTCTAATCACAAATTGGAAATTAAAGGAAAATTTTATTAAGATGGCACAATGTTCAAGCGAGCAATGGGGGCTCCAACCAGGTGATCAGATCGCTAGTAACAGATTCGTGTTTGTCTACCATCATCACGGTCAGTTTTTCAGTGTTCACACTCTTTTAAACTTACATCTAATTGGAAGTATATATATTTCACTTCCCAAAACCAAACCTAATATTATATATAATTATATATGGTTTTGATAATGTACTCCATGTAAGCTTCCGTCAATTTTAATGATATATGAACTCAATTTTTCACCAACTTTTTGCGTTGGAAAAATTTTCATGGAACTATTGTAATCTCATTATATTTTGTGGTACTACTGATCATTTGGTAGGTAAGTATCATAGACTCCATATATTCTAAATTGTTATTCTTATATTTTATTCAATTCAATAAAAGTCATATATAATCATATTGTATATGTATTTATGTTCTCTTTCGTAGACAACTCCCTTGATTATAACAGGAATATATGTGGGGGACGGCATGGTCATTCATTTCCTACAACCTGCAAAGAAAAGTAACTCTTCTTCCCCATGCCAAAAATGTGGGCACACACCAAGCTTACATGGTGGGATCGTCAAAACATGTCTGGATTGCTTTCTCGATGGCCACTCATTATATATTATTAACCCGACTGACTGCAAGCCACCCGATGAGGTTGTGAAGACTGCCACCGAGTTTTTCCAAGGAATAAGGACCTTTGATGAATACAATTTTGCTTTTAACAATTGTCAGGACTTTGCCTCCTTTTGTAAAATAGGTATAAAGTCATCTGAGGAAAGAAACAAGGTCGTCAAAACATTATTGGTGGGCACCAAGGAGGTCACCAAAGTGAGCGCCACCATGGTGGGCATTGGCATTGCAGGCATCGCCGCAGCTTCTGTGGTGCATTCTATTGTTAAACGGACGCTCGAAAAAGTTGATGGTAGGAATGGGAAACCTGGCCCTTCCCCACCCGGTTGACATCCCTATGTACAAGTAGGTTTAGGTTTTAAATTAATGTTTTACTCTATATGAAATTCTGTAATAAGAACGTTACGATATTAATTCCATCAAACCATGTTTAATCATTGTTGGACTTTAGTCCCTAAAATATTATGGTCCTAACAAAATAATAACAAGACATATTAAATATACAATATTTTTGGTGCAAATTTCTTCATAATAAATTTTTTAATTAGGTTCGAATTCAATGTCCAGACCTAAAAAATGCAGTAGCATACGATGCAATTAAGTACTAACATGCAGCACATTTTGAAGTGCGTGCGTCCATGCATAATGTATACCATTTTAATGAACTTCATACTAATTATTTTTAAGCTTTGCTTAAAGGTTATGCTAACATTAAAAGCATCTCCATGCTTTTGATAATATGCATAACCCAAAGTTTGAAGATTGCTCAACTATTTAAGGTATTCTGTATAGCTAAGGCCATGCCATTAAGATAAAGTGGTTCCTTAACATTTCAGTCTAGCCATTCATATAAAACGATTCCTTGACAAACAGACAGTTTAATTTATTCCATTTTTTCAACTAAAGTTTCACACCTGGATTATTCTATATATCTATCTATGTATGAATATATGGAATACATTTTTTTTTTTTTTTTATAATTTGCTAATTTCCATCACACATATAAGATACAGTTGTCATTGTTTCAAAATTCAATGATACTAAAAATATCTAAAAATATATCAAATAAAGCCATGGTCCTTGCAGGCTAATAAGTTTCCAAATCCCCCGATGAAGTTGTCAACGTAGCACTGAACTTCTCCAAGGAAATGCTTTGCTAAATACTATTTTATTGCTAAAAAATTTCAGACAGGCCATTGGCGCTAGCAGCAGCAAAACGCAAAGCATTATATTATTATAGTTTTGGGTAAACATGGTATTGTATAAAAAGATCAAAAATACATCCTAGGGTGGCGAATCCCTTCCCCAAAACCTTGGACAGGCCCAAGGTTTGAAAGCTATACAAAAAGTAAGAACCAGAAATTATACAAGTGCAAACTTTTACAAGCAAGGCCCGAACCAAAAGAACCAAACCAGGTAAAAGAATACAAAGCATTATTCAACAAAAGGAATAGAAACAATGTTATTTAAGGCTCAAAACTACGATGACGCAATCTATGAATATATAACACGTAAAAAATTATTATGTGAGTCTTGTTAATTTAAAGATCAGTGAAGTTATCCTAAACTTAGCCCTGAGAGGGTTATTATTCCCATATCTATCCCAAAACCCTGCTCTTTCATCGAGTATCCTGAAACTTACCCTGAGAGGGTTACTATAATTACTTTAGAATTATGTAAAAGTTTAATTCTGCAGCAGGACTAAATGTTTGTGATCTTTGAACATATCTATATATAGTTCGAATTCTAATTTGCATATGCCTATCTCTTATCTTTATTTGATTTTTTTTTTTCACAAAATTACAGGTTAATGTTTGGGTTATTACAAAATTACAAAGTTATGTTAATTACACTGCCAATAATGTCTAGAATATTTTTAATGACATCAAGCATCTGATGCAAGCACTAGCATGTAGCACATTTTGAAGAATTTCTCACACATGGAGAATATAATTGGCAATTACATGAGGATCATTTGCATAAAGCAATTCCTTAAAGTTTATCTGTAACCATTCATATGAAAGCAATATATTCCTGACCATCCAGGTTTATCAGGGGACCCATATTGGACTATGTAAGCTTTTAGTTTTTATTCCATCAATTTTCGAAACCAAGGATCTTGTGCTGCTAAACTACAGATCCAAATCTCTATTTGTATCCTTGGTTGAGAAATTTTTGTATTCCCAATTACTTAATAAGCGAGAGAAATTAAATGGGACAAAAAACAAAACTCCGTCCATGCTCAATCCGGGAGATCATATTTTAGTAATAGGGCTGGGATTCTCACTATCATGACGGTGGTAATTTTCACTCACTATAAATTTAATTAAACTTGTTTCTAGTTCTTACGTTAATGCATTCTTATTTTGTTATTATAGGATATATGTGGGCGATGACATGGTGATTCATCTTATGGAGTTGGAGTGAAAAAAAGTTCATCTTTTTGTGCCCAAAATGTGGCTACAATCGAGACAAGATAGTAGAATTGTCAAAACTTGTCTTGACTGTTTCCTCGATGGCAACAGCCTACATCTTTGAATATGATTCCTGTTGCAAATCACCTGATGAAGTTATCAGGACTGCCACGGAGTTTCTCCAAGGAAAAATTTTGGCAAGTCAACTTGCATTTAACAATTGCGAGGATTTTGCATCCTATTGTAAAACAGGCCTTCGTTTATGTTCTCAAAGGGAATCGTTTGTCAGGACAGTGCGTCTTTTTTCCGACGCCCAGAACCGACCTGTGACCCGATCCTTCATATCGCCCTGGGTCTTGAAGGATATATTTTTCTACTTTTAGTCAAAGTTTTCAGATTTCTTCTGTTATGCTGAGAATGTAGGGCTGATGTCGAACTGTCAGCTGAGTGGTTAGAGCTTAAGAAGGTTCTACAATCACTCAGATGTGGCCACGTCTCTTGCCAGTGCAGTGGGATGCGCCAAGCTGATGAAAGCTAGAAAAGGTCCATGTGTCCAATCCCGCACAGGTCGAGCAATCACTCGGACAGGTGAATAATGGACACAGAGAAAGATTTCACGACATTTGCCCACTTACAAATTAGTAATATTACCTTTGTTCATCCCACTACTATAAATAAGGGTTTCTCTCCCGTTTGCGTATTACTAATTTTTACTCTGAAATAGCATATTGTCTTTCTCTCCCTATGTATTTTCAAGCTATAAATCAGCTCGTTGAACGTGACTAATTTATTTCAAATCCAATATCGGACGTAGGATTCGCCTTGTGAGCATCCGAACCCATTAAATTCGTTATTCTCCTTGTTCTTAAGCTAAACTCCATAATCACACGGACTTCTGAGCCCACTCAGTATTTCTCACGGCGATTAGTTGGTCTCAAATCCAGCATCAACATCTCTTGCATTAAAATATGTGTATGCAGTCAAATTCGAGTCTAATGCAATGGAAGGATTTTAAAATTCTCTCATAATAATTATAGTTATCTGATGAGTGTTATATAACTTGTCTTGATATTTACTACTAAAATATCATCTTAAATAATTTGGAATAAAAAACTTTAGTAGTAATTATCTATTGATAGAACCGTCTGGCATAGAGATTTCACAGTATAGCTAAACTGTTTAAATCTCTGAGTGTATAGAGAAATAATGTTAACAAATGGTTTTGTAATTTGAGAGTCATATTAATAACTTTGTACATCAAATAATCAGCATAACCCACCACCCATGGGTAGTGGGTAGTCCAACGTAAGGGCGAATCAAGGGACTGCAAATGGTCCAACCCATATCAAGGCTTAAATAATTCTCGTTAGGCGCAAAGGTAATACCCTCCCTTATAATTTACCGAGGGTTGCAGTAGTGAGTTGCTATGAGATGCTTCCAACCTCCACTGACAAATGTATCAAGTGTGATTGATAAATGTATATTTCATTTTTATGATGTCATAATTGATTCGATGACATTATTGTGGTTAATTTTGAACTAGACTCCCATTCTGGTGGGTTGCGGTAGTGGATTGTATGAAAAGCTTCCACCGACAAATGTATTAACGGGATTGATAAATTATATTCTCATTTTTATGATGTCATTAATTGATTTGATAACATATTGTTGAATTTTGATACTCTCATTCTCGTACAATAGAATCAATATTATATATATAGTACAAATGATTCGCAAAACGAATACTTGATTAATTAATTTATATTATATGCCACATGGTCAATATTTTGATATATCATCTTTATAATATGAAATTTGGGAATATAAAAATATAATAATCAAAGAATCCAATAATCATTTCAATGAATGAATATAGTTGCCATGATGGCGTTGATCGAATTGCGCAACCAATGGCTTGTTTCCTTTATAATGGTTGCTCCCATTCTCAAAATACAAAACGAAAAAAAATTAAAAAACAATAGAAAATACAATTATTATAACACCAGATGTTCAAGAACTAAGTCGTTATAACAGTAGAACTGCTGCAAATTTTATGACGAAATCAGAAAAGTTGGTGGCGGTGGTGCAAGAACAGCTGCGGCAAAATTCATTTCACTTACCTCGCATGACCGTGTCACGGCCTGGAATATACGGCATGGATTGCAACTGATAGGCGCTACCGGACCCTTTGTAGGATTGAACATCGACTTTTCTTCTCCATTGCTCTCCTTCGAGCGGCCTCATTGCCGAAGTTCGTTCACAAAATGACGACAAAGGAGGACGCAAACGAGTGTATTATGAAGCACGTAAACCCATTTGAGATGTGAAAGATTTGTCGTGAAAGAAATGGAAGTTGAAGGTTGAAGATGAATTAAATGGTTATGAATGGTGAATCGATGTGATTTATTTATAAGGTTGAGAGGGGTTGACTGAAGCGCGGGGTTTGAAGTTGAATGAACTCTAAATGAGACTATGAAGACACGGCCTCACCTTTAAGGGCAACGATTAGCCCATAATATTTATTTATGCGACTTAATCAAAGTAAGAAATTTGAAGATTCCAATTCTGATGCATAGAGAACTATTTCAAGTCTTGGGCTCGGGTCTGCTGTTTTATTTCCAGCCCATGTCCAATATTTGATGACACATTTTTGGTGAGATTGAACGATCAGACTTGTCCGTGGTCATTATATTAGGTTTGTCCACTTTTTTTCTTCAGAATTTTACAATTAGATGAGATACTCATATATTTTTCCTTTTAATTTTATCTAAACAATAATATTATTCACAATTTCTCTCACAATCTCCAACGTGATAATTGTCATTGGCTGCTCGCAAATTGGTAGGCAAAACCTATACAAATAGGTGCATCCATTTTACGAATTGATCAATGACGAACTGTTATGTTGGAGTTTGTAAGAGGTTTGAGATTAATTGTGGATCTAGCATTACTCTTAGTCTG